ACTAAATTTGGTTCCCCAAATACAAATATGACACAGTGGTTAAAGTGCCCACCTGCTAAACAAGTCATTAGTTCAAACCCACCAGGAAACTCCATGGGAGAAAGATGTGGCAGTGTGCTTCCATAAACACTGACAGCCTTGAAACCATCCAGGGCAATGTCACTGTCTCGCAGGGTTGCTGTGTGTCAGAATCTATACGGAAGAATTGATTCAATGGCAGAACTGAGTTTCTGGTGGGATACCTTTGCTAAGTCCCTGGGTTGTGCAAACAGTTACGTGCTCAAAATGAAAGGTTGGTGGTTTGAACCCACCTAGAGGTACCTGGGAAGACAGGCTGGCAATCTGTTTCCAAAGGGTCACAGCTTGGAAAACCCTTTGGAGCAATTCCACTCTGTGCACATGGGGTTGTCATGAGTTGGAATCAACTCGACAGCAATTATCAATAACAATGCCTATGGATACAATCCCATTTTGGAATAGGATTTTGTTATACTAATAAGGCCACACCACTTTTGAGATATAAAGGGAGCAGATATAAAGGGAGCAGAAGCACATGTCAGGGGAGACAGATGCCACATGGAGATCCCTAAGGAAGTGAGGAACAGAAGCTGAAAGGATAAAAGGGACTTCCCCCAAACCTGATAGAGATAGAAGCCTTCCCCTAGAGCAAGTACCCTGAATTCAAAGTTCTGGCCTCCTACACTGAGAGAAAATAAATTTCTGTTCATTAAAGTCACCCTTTGTGGTAGTTCTGTTACAGTAGCACTAGATAACTTCCCATGGTCTGCTCCTGGCTTACTTTTTATAGTTTCTTGGGACTCAGTTCTAATGGGGGCATCTCCTCTGGAAGTCTTCACTGATCCTTGATTTGGACTAAGTATCTCCCCATGACATTCCACACCACATAAAAGAGGACTCTGTCAAGGTACTCTACCATAGCACTACATCATATCTGTCTATGAGCCTCACAAGATTATAAATTCCTCTGAAGCAGGAAATTACATTTCAATTATTCCCCAGCACCTAGTACCATGATAGCACATAACAGTTGCTCAATAAACATTTGTTGAATGATGAATAAGGCATATAGTGATGATCAAGAAGTGATTTGTATTGTTACTCTTATAGTCGGTAGCACTGTAAGAAATGTCCTGATTCGTTTGACAGGGAATGTTAGATTGCTACTGCATCCTATGGTGCAGGATAACCTACACGTCTATGGTTCTAACCTACCAGTCACCCTACAGCAGAAAGATGTGGTAGTCCGCTTCCATAAAGATTACAGCTTGGAAACATTATATAGCAATTCTATCTGTCCTACAGGGTCATTATGAGTCAGAATCAATTCACTGGCAGTGGATTTATTTTTTGGGGGGATGGGGTAGAGAAGGCAGGTGGCTAATACTTAAAGAAGAAATGAAAGGACAGAGGCAAAAATTGAAACAAAGGACCTACCAGCTACTTGAGAAATTGACTGACTATTACATAAGGAATCCATTATACCAAGAAAAGAGATTGGTGTTGTTAAGTGCCATCGAGTCGACTCCAACTCATAGTGACCCTTTGAAGATGAGTGTGAACTGCTGACACTGGTTCGCAGTCCAGTGCTGATCCACACGAGGAGTCCAAGAAAAGAGACTGGATTACTACAAACCAGCACCCAAAGAGTTAACTACAGGAAACTAGCACAACGTGATTAACACTCTCTTGTTACCTCTCTCATGTACTTACTATTTCATAGCAGCACTAATACTTACTGTGATCTCTGAGCCATGAGCAACTCATTTTTTGCAAATTCAAAGTCTTTTGGGCCCTCGCTTATGAAAGTATCTCTGCAGGATGGTCTTTTCCCTTTCTGGACTTCCACTGGATGATTAAATCTAAAATAATGGTCTCCTCCAAGAATTACCCGATCACCCTAAAGCACACAAAAAAAATTTACAAACTGAGGTGAGTTTGAACAAACAAACATGGGACGAATCACTATGCGCAATAATTCAAAAGAGTCTAGTATTGCCAATGATAAACATAAATACTTTGCATATGCCAAGCAATGCAGTAAATACTTTGCATGTTACCTCATTTATGTTTCATAAGAACTCAATGAGATTCATAGCATTATTCCAATTTTAGGAATGAATAAACTAAAGAACAGAGTTAACAGCATGTATTCACTGAGAGCTTACTACTTTCAGACACTGTGCTAAAAGCTATACATGAATTATTTAATCTTCCCAGCCACTCTGAAAGGTAAGAAGCCCCCACTGTATTCATTCTGTATTTTCTCTCTCTAACCATTATGCCTCTGTTTGCCTGTGATTGTCCTGAGACAATTATTCATTCTTACAAAACTTTTCTAATTTGGGCACTATTAAATAACCATCTAGTTAAATAACTTGCTAAATGAAGGTCATATAGTTGTTGTGTGCTGGCAAGCCGAGTCTGACTCATAGTGACCCTATATTCAGAGTAGAACTGCCCCACAGAGTTGGCTGGGATGTAGCCTTTATAAGAGCAGATGGCCAGGTGTTTACACCCATAAAAAGGCTGGTGGGTTCGAACTGTCAACTTTTCAGTTACCAGCCGGGCACTCCACTGTTAAGCCACCATACCTCCTTACTAAAGGTCACACAGACAGCAAGTGGCAGAGCCAGGGTGTCAACCTTTCTGGCCTGATTCCAAAGCGGAGCTCTTTAATGGACACACAGTGTTGTCAGTGGTCTACTCTGCAAGTACTGGTCATAAGGATATAACTTTGATCTTTGCTTAAAGGAAGATAGTCTTTGAACTGATTAAAAAAGAGAATTTCATAACTGCAAAAGCCTTTCATCTACTTCAACTCCATTATCTTAGAGAGGAGAACACTGAGACTTAAAGAAATTAAATGTTTTCCTTAAGGTAAAACACTCTTTTCAAAATAGTCAACTTACGTGATGTAATACTGTGGGTTCCAAAATATGTTTTCCATTTACATAAGTTTTTGCTTCTGCAACTGGGATAATACTCACTGTCCCATCAAAATTTTTGATAGCACTGTAAAGATATAAGAAGAATACTGTTATAATTATAGGACATGTTAAAAATATGCAGAAGGAAATACAGGATAATTCTGCTTGGCTTATTCTTTTAGCATCAGACTTCATGTCATTTTGTTATAACATTAATTTAAAAGTTTTTTTTGTTTGTTTGTTTGTTTTTTTTTGCTCCAACTAGAAATTGAAATTTTTGGCATGAAAAACCCTAGCCTCTCTTGTGATTACTGTTGATATTATTAATAATAAGTGCCATCCAGTAGATTCTGACTCATACCCTGTATAGGGTTTCTGAGGCTGTAAATCCTTGTGGAAACAGAAATCCTCATCTTTCTCCTATGGAGCAGCTGGTGGGCTTGAAGCACTAGCCTGTGGTTCACAGTCCAGTGCTTATCCTACAAAGCCACTGTACTACTACCTGTATTTTTATTATCATTTTTTAAGAAAATATCAGCCCCTTTTCCACAAAATGGAAAACTAAGCAAAACAAAAAAAGAAACATTGAAAAAAATTAAAGGGAAAACCTTATTAAAATATTAACAGTGTTTACCTGTGAATGGAATAGTTTTAAATGTTTTTATTTTTACTTTTCTATGGTTCTTGCTTTATATGAGTTTTAGTGATAGAACCATATATACTTTCACCTCACATGAAAAATGGAGGAACTCAAAGGAAGAACAAGTAGAGAGAGAAAATCTTACTCCCTGTTCATCCAATTTAATTGGGCTTTGACCAGAAAATCAACTATAAATGCTACATATTCCTCTGAGTCTTTGTATTCAGAGAATGTTGTTGTTAAGTGCCGTAGAGTCCGTTCCAACTCATAGCAATCCTGTATAGGGATTCCAAGGAGCAGCTGTTAAGCTTGATCCACCAACCATGCAGCTCAAACCAACCTTGCAGTCCAGCACATTAACCTGCAGTGCCACATGTTGTTGTCATTGTTAGGTGCCACTGAGTCAGTACTGACTAATAGTTACCCTATGTACAACAGAACAAAACACTGTCTGGTCCTGGGCCAACCTTACAATCTGCTATGCCTTAGCCCATCACTGCCACCACTGTGCCAATACATATTGGGGGTCTTCTTCTTTTTCTCCAACCCTACACTTTACCCAGTAGCCATGTACAAGAATATCAATAGAAATACTGTGGTAGCAAAAAAAAAAACCTGAAAACAACCCAAATGTCTATCAATAAAACAAAAAAATGTAATAATATAAATGAACAGATAAATTTGTGTACTGGCATGGATTGATTCACAGCTGTGAAAATGAAGATGCATCCACATGGACAAATCTTGAAAACAATGAAGAGCTAAAACAGTTTGCACACACTACCATCCCACCCACATATACTGTATCATTCCATTCATGTGAAGGTCATATGGAACAAAATTTTTTAATTTGTTAATCCAACCAAAACTTTTGTCAGTAAGATGGCTGGAAGTTTGCTTTCATACACATGATTACAATTATAAGAAAAGAAATTGTCCCTCAACCAACGAGAGATCAAGTACACCAAGACACAGATAGAGAGCAAAATATTTTATACTGAGAGTAACTGGCCTATAATCCTTGGAAACACAGAGTAGGCCTGTTTTTCACGGCTAAAAGATGAGTATGAAGAACTATATAAAAGAATCTGTATAAACTGCTGCCTCATGAGAAGGTAACCACATGTTAACAAAATATGGAAGATTATTGAAAAATGCACAAACGCCTCATTTAAGATTAACTTACCAATGATCATCAGCAATCAGCACCCCAGATAACTGAATATCATGGCTTGAGTTTGGTTTATACTTTCCAACTGTAGTTTTTCCTTCTTTTATCATATATAACAACATCTCTGATAGCTGAGGATCTTCATTGAGATTGACAAGGTTTGGCAAGTGGTTGTCCATCTGAAATGTAATTCCTGCTTTCTAGTGAAAGTCAGAGAAAAAAACATTAACCATAAATACAAAATTGCTAGACTAATCTAAACTGTATGCTCTAAGTAAAAAATTCAAATCATTCAGTGCGAAGTCTCAAAAAGTTCAAAATTTCTTAAAGTCTCTTCCTCTTTCTAAGAATCTCTCTCTTTTCTGACATTGCTGTTAAGAGTGAGCACCGCTCATAGAAATCTAGAGTTCTGTTGACTCTTCATTCCTCACCATCCTCAGTCCATTCACATATCAATCCATCACCAAATTATGCTAATGTCATCAGAGTGGATCCAGTCCTTGTTTTGCATCCTCACTGCCATCGCCTTACATCATTTAGGCCCTTATCAACTCAAACCTGAACTTCGGTAGCATCCTACTGATTGCCTTGCCAACAATTTCTCATTTTCAATCTTATATTCTACACCAGATTAATTCTCCTGAAAAGGTACTATCAAAATGTCAATTCCCTGGTCAAACATTTTAATGGCTTCTTATGTCCAATAAGATAAAATTCAAAGTCATTAATGACTTTGGAAACTAAGCCCTTAATGAACTAACCATAACTTGGCACTGCGGGTTAATAAGCTGGACTGCAAGTGAGTTTAAACAGCAAGGTCAGTGGTTCAAGCTCATCAGCCACTCCTTGGAAACCTCATACAGGGTAGCTATGAGTTGGCACCGACTCAGTGGCATTTAACAACAATGACCTTACACAAACTGCTCACTCCAATACACACATTCTCTTCTGAACACACTTGAATCTTCACCACCTTTACGCTCATACACTTTTCCCTTCCTAAAATACGCTATTCCTTTTATCTACCTATTAAGATCTGACCCAAATGTCAACTCAAATCCACCTCTCCTAGGAACCTGGAATGGCCATTCCCAAGGAATTTTAGGAATTTTAATCTTTTTGAATTCTTCTAGGATTTCCATACCTATCATTTGAAATATTTGCTTTACTGCCAATACCTTCACTTTTCACCCATTTTCTCCAATCTCTTTTAGAACACTTCACTCCATCAAGGAGTTTTGTGGTTCCTATAAAACTGTTCTGAGTCTCCTCCAATCTTTAAACCAAGAGTGGGAGCCTTTTTTCTGTCAAAGTTTATAACACCATTCACAGACCATAGAAAACTGTCAACTTAAAAATTAGCCTACTCTTACCCAGAGAAACAGAGCTGCCTGAGATGGAGACAGAGACGATGACGTGAAGCAATGAAGCGGCTGGGGACTTTGGATCCAGAGAAGGAAAGGGACTGTGGACCAAAAACTGGGGGGAAGGGGAGGAGGGGGAAGTGTAGGTGGCAGGTTTCTAGGATATACCCTTTGGCTGGTTGATAATACATGGAGGGAATTGGAACCATGGCAATGAGATGATATATGATGGAATGAATGTAAAATTAAAGTTCTCTCATGTAAACTACCATATAATTCACAATAAAACATTTAAAAAAAAGTAAATGGAAGAAATGAGAAAGTCAAAGAGCTGACCTGAAAATTTCAAAGGGCAGCTTGAGAAAAAAAAAAAAAATCAAGGGGAATACATGAGCAGGCATGTGGTCTGGCTGGCGACCACATTGGTCACCAATAAGGGGAAGAGGCGGAAAAACAGCAATGAAATTGGGAGCTAAGTCCGACCACATTCAATAGACTCCTGTGAACCCGGGTGGAAACCTCGTTGGCCAGCAGTATGGCAAGACCCGGGGACTCCTGGGTCCAGAGGCAATGACATGGCCACAGAGGACTAGAGCAGAGATCGAAGCATCCAGCTGATATAAACTGTGGGGAGATGCACAAGAACATCCACACTTGCAAATAGTACCCACTTGACCTGGTTTCGATGGTTGGATTATCAGAACTCAACTAAAAGAAGAAAGAAGAGGAAAAAAAGAGTAACCCGCTAAAATTTGATGAACTTTACCTATACTTACAGATTTAGTAGCTCAGAAAAGAGAACAAATCTTTACAGCGAGGATCACTCCTACCCCCTTGGTACACAGGGTTGACAAGCATGGGCAACTTAGACATTGGCTATCCAAAATGCAGGGGCTACAATGGCAAGAAGTGACTGGCTTACAAGCTTTCAAGAGGGAGCCTAGTTCTAGATGGGGCTGGGGAAAGTAAAATCTCCACTGAATGGTTTCTAATCTTTTGAGACAGGGTTAATGAAAGGAGATGGGGATAAGACTCTTGTGGTACAATAGTGAATAATTGCTATCAAGACTGATTGTGAGGGTCGAAAATGTAAAGGTAGATGTTTTGTAAGAAAGGGAGGGGATAACTGATTTTGCAGTCCAGGAGCAGAAGTCCCTGGGACCATCAAATGAGAAGAGTGGAATGTGGGAACCTACCCAGAGAAGCAGTGATACCAGAAATGGATGCAGAGATGATGATGTGGGCAGATGGAGCGGCTAGGGACACTGGACTCAGGGAAGGAGAGGGGCTGTGTGTTGACAGCTGGGGCGGGGGGTGGGGGGGTGAGCAGGCCTGTGTGGTGTAACCTTTGGTTGTTTGATGATGCATGATGCATGGAGGGGATTGTAATCATTACAATGAAATGAAATATGATAGGATGAGTGTAAAACTGATTCCTCCTATGTAATCCCACATAATTCACAATAAAAACTTAAAAAAAAAAATTAGCCTACTATATTTGGTCAAGCATTTAATTAACTCACCCCTAATGTGATGGCTAGCGTAGTGGTTACAAATCGGGCTGCGAACCTTAAGGTCAGTGGTTCGAAACTACCAGCCGCTCGGCGGGAGAAAGATGAGGCTTTCTACTCCCGTAAGGATTTACACCCTCGGAAACCCTGTACAGGGTCGCTATGGGTCGGAACTGACTCGAAGGCACTTAACAACAACAACAACAACAATGTGATGGCTGGGATCCTGGTGTGGTGCTGTGGGTTAATGCGCTTGGCTGCAAAATCAGTTTGAACCACAAGGTTTGCGGTTCAATCTCACTAGCCACTCCTCAGAAACCCTATACCGGGTCGCTATAGGTTGGAACCGACTTGACGACACTTAACAACAATGCGACTGCTGGAACTGAGGTTGTCTGCGCAGAGCTAGGTCAAGTGGGCCAGATGTCCCCCATTAGTGCTCTTTTTGTTTTTTGCTCAAACAAAACCCTTCTCTCAACTTCAAAGTCCTCATCTCTGACTACTATAACTCTCATCTAAGATTTTCAGAGTCTGTGTGTGTGGCTCTAGGGTCGGTCTGAGTCAGAATTGACTCAGTGGCAGTGGGTGGGTAATTGTGTGTAGCTCCATTTCTTCATCTCTTGGTCACTTCTCAATTCACTGTTATCTGGCTTCTTCCTTCAGCATTACAATGGTGATATACACATTTCAGTAACCTGGGAGTCATTCTTGTCTTTTCTATCAACCCACACACCCAAAAACATTCCCAAGCCTGTCAATTTTACCTCCTTTCCATCTCTTGACTCCAGCTCTTCCACTACTGAATCCCATTGTCACTGCCTTACTCCAAACTCTCATCATCTCTTGCTTTTTAACTACAGCAGTAGCTTCCTAGATGAGCTCCTTTTCTCTGTCATCTTCATTCTTCCCTCCCTTAAATCCATCTTTCACACTGTAACCAGAGAAGCCTCTCTAAAACACAAGTCTGTTCTTTTCATTCCCTTTCCATTTAAAATCACCAATGGCTCCTAATCTCCTGAATCCAAGTTCCTCATTATATCCTGACCTGCATCTCTCTTAATCTCTGCTACCAGCTTTAATTTCTAGCCATACAAAATACCATAATTCTCCGGGCATTCATACAATAAGTTATGTTGTGCCTCTATATCTGAACACAGAATTCCCCTGCTGCTTATTGTGCAAAACACTGCTTAGTGGGCCCTTCTTCCTTGATAAACCACCTCCTCAATTATTTTTAGTCCCTCCTCTCTCCTACATCTTACACTTTTCATTGCTTTAGGCTGGCTGAATCATATGAAACTGCCAGTATTTAACCACTACCTACCTAAAAAATGACAGCTTCATATAGTTCAACCTAATTAAGCATACCACATTTCAGTCATCTGTTTATATTCTCTAAACATTCCTCAAGGAGCCTGGGTGGTACTTTTTGTTAAGTACTTGGTGGTGGTTTGAACACATCCAACTGCTTCACAGGTGGAAGACCTGGTGACCTTCTTTCATATAGATTACAGCCAAGAAAACCCCATGGGGTAATTCTCACTGACACCTCAATGAGTTGGGGTCAACTTGATGGTACCCAACAACAACCAACTTCCTTCTGAATCACCCTGAGATCTGCAACCAGAACTACATCTTACAAACCTGGGTGGGCATTCTGTGTTCCTAGCCCAACACAGAGCTTCTGAAATGTTTGTTGAGCCCAACTGAATATAACTAGAGAGTTTGCTTCTATTTTAACTTTCCAAATAGCTTATGGGCTGTAAGCAACCACAATCTTGATCTTAGCAATTCTTTATATTAATTCTCTTTAGGGTATTGCTTTGTACAGAGTCAGTATATAGTAAGTATCTGAAAAATTAAATTTATGTATTTATTGATGTAGTACCCTTTTACTTTCAAATCAGTTTAGCAAGTTGAAATACCTGGAGCTCTTTTGTTTCTTGAAGTTTTCTTTTTTCAGCTTGTTCAAACTTTTCTTTCCACACTCTTTCCAAAGACATCCCCCACAAAAAAAAGAAAGAAAAAAAAGCAGAGTTAAAGACACCCTGATATACAGGAATGAGAATATTTAAAAATATGATTGTCTAGGGGTGTAGTGCCATATTTACACAGAAGGTGGGAAGACAGACTTCATGTCTTCTTCAGGCCCCCACTTGTCCTATCATCCTAAGGACACACACTGAAAATGTGAGGCAATGACTGCACCCTACCTTTGCATTTCTGCCATGTCTCTCTCCTGTTGATGCAGTTTCATTCTTAAGCATGTTATTTCTTGTCGACAGAGCCTGTATCGTTCAGGGTCGATATTCCGATTATTTTTTTGAGCAGCTTTTAGTTTTTCGATTTCTGCTTTCAATTCTAAATATTTACAGAGATGTGTGATAGATAGTATTTGGTACATAATAATTTCCATGTCAGGCAGAATCTTCCCATTTTCTAGTTTTTTTCCCCCATCTTCTATTTTATTTGAATTAAATAAAAGAGAATATTTACGGAAATCAGTTTTACTTCCCTTGTATGACCTACATATATTTCTACCTAACTTTGACCCAAAAAAATACTCCCCAACCTTGAGCAGAATGGCCAAAGTGGAATGCTTTTGAAAGGGAAAGGGGCCACCATCAACAACATTATGACTAGAGACATAAGCTGAGATTGCCCTAGGCAAAGCTTAATAATGAGTTATGTTGAATATAGATCAAAAATGTTTCAACTTGGAATTTAAAATATATATTTCAGGTGAAAATGGCTCCATTAGTAAAACAGAGGGGATCCAGATGAAGAGATAAACTATGATACAGAAAAGTAATTCTACTCTGGATCACACCTATAAAGTGTTATTTACCTTCAGCTGTTAAAAGGCCCAAGGATAAAGGAGTATAAGCAAAAACAAAGCATGTTATAATCAAGATTCCTTGCAGGTATGTAAATTCTACCCTAGTTGGATGATTACTAAGATGGAAACAGAAAGCAGTATTTAGCATAAACAAGCTTAGGCCTAGAAACTCAAGATCAAACAGACTTTGACTCAATGCAGTAAGCAACAGCAGACTTGATAAGGGAATGACAATGGACGAAAGGTCATAAGTAAAAAACAAATAACTAGTGTTAGTTTGTTGCACATCTCTGTGATTCAGTCTATAAAATTATTTTTCTATGCCTGCTATTTTCCCATTACTTACAATCTAGTCCTATAAAACAATTTCCGAGTGTTTTCTTCCGTATTACTTATTCTCTTTCCCATTGCCTGATCTTCCTCTATCACTGTGGAATAATGGCTAGAATCCATTATGTTGTTGTTAAGTGCCATCAAGTCAGTTCCAACTCATACCCAACTCTGTATAGGGTTTCTAAGGAGTGACTGGTGGGCTTGAACTGCCAACCTTGTGGTTCACAATCCAGTGCTTATCCTACAGAGCCACACCAGGGTTCCTATTATTGTTAAGTACCATCGAGTTAATTCTGACTCAGAGCGACCCTGTACAGTATTTCCAAGGAGTAGCTGGTGGGTTTGAACTGCTGACCTTGTGGTTTGCAGTCCAGTACTTATCCTACAGCACCACACCAGTAGTCTGGCACCTATTATAAGGTGTAAAAGAAAGAAGAAAAATTGATGCTCTTAGATTGCATATTTCTAAGACTAGAATTTATTTGCAAGACTAAGCTATTGTAAAGTACTTTTCAAATTTTCAGAAAAATAGTCACCTCTGATTAACTTAGCATTCATATCTTCATTTACTTTGGCAATGTTGACTATCAAACGGGCTTGGTTAGCATATCTAAGTGTGCTTAAAGTCTCATCTATATTGCTGGCAGCAGGACTGATGGTAGCAATCATTGCAGTTTTTGAATTTCCACCCAGACTTTCTTTTAATAACCTTCAAGGAAAAAATAAATGTCATAATCAGACTTTGCTTCACAAAAACTGAGTAACAGTAATTATCTAGAAAACATAAAACAAATTAGTAGAGTATGTAATTCAGAATGCACTTAAATATTTTAATATTTTTTGGTATCTGTAGCTATATTTACATCTCATAATCCACTATTTTCTCTTATGCTTTCTATACTATTTCACAAAGCAATAATCTATGAAGAGGTTTTAAGATATGGTCAATTATCATATATTTAGTAAGATACCTCTCTCCTTCCTTCACTGCAAGCTACTTCAGGAAAGGGACTCTTGTGTCTTGGTCATCTGTGCATTTCCATTTCTATCACAACCTTTTGGAGCAACCATCCACTGCCCTTGAGTCAATTCTGAGTCGATTCCGACTCACAGGAACCCTACACAGGGTTTCCAAGAAGTAGCTGGTGGGTTTGAACTGCTGACCTCGTGGCTCACACTTATGAATAAATCTAAAAGGAAATACACACTTACAAATTAAAACATTTATTGAGCACCTTTATGTTAACCATTGGGTATTGTTGGTGGTGGTTATGTGCCATGGAGTCGGGTCCGACCCACAGCGACCCTGTACAGGGTTTCCGAGGCTGTAAATCTTTACAGGAGCAGAAAGCCTCATCTTTCTCCCACGGAACAGCTGGTAGTTTCGAACTGCTGACCTTGTGGTTCGCAGTCCAATTCGTAACCCAAACAAAAATCATTAATTTCACTTCACCCATAGCAGTATGTATGGTGGTACCGTATGTGTCCACATATTAGGCACTAATTAGCACAATAATAGTTGTTCATACTCATATAGCACATGCTACATGTTAAGAGCTTGATGTTGATCATTTGATCTTCACTACAGTCCTAAGATAAGTTTTGACATTATCCCCATTTTACAGAGAAGGAAACTTAGGCTCAGAGCATTAAGTGATTTTTCCACAGTCAAAGACCTTATAAGATGCAGAGCTAAGGTTCAAATCTAGGTAGTTTGGTTTTGAAGTTTATGCTGTAAATCACTAGACTATATTCCTTCTCCATCCCAATGTTATATGAAGTCAGTCTACTAGTTTTTGCCCTACAGTATTCACTACAAAACACACTTGCCTGTGGTGTTCAAGACCATAGTCTTAGGAGACACCATGGTCAATTGACATAACACAGTCCACAAAACAATATTCTACTTTCTACTTTGGTGAGAAGCAACTAGGGTCTTAAAAACTCACGAGTGGCCATGTCAGGTTCAACTACTGATCTATCTCTGTTTAGATCAAAAAATAAAAAAAAGAGAGAGAGAATAAAATCAAAGACACATGGAAGTATCTTTACTAAGTATTAGTCCAACAGACTAATGGAACAGCTGAACATCAGTCACCATGACTGTGAGACCAGAAGAACTAGATGGTGCCCAGCTACCACCACCAACTGCTATGAAAGGGAACCACATTAACAGGCCCTGGACAGAGCAGGAGAAAAATGTGTAACAAAATTCAAACTCATAAAAAGACCAGGGTCACTGGTCAGATAGACAGGTGGAACCACTGAAACAATGGCCCTTAGTCGCTCTACAACTAAAGTCATCCCTCTGACTCAATACTAGTCAAACTATAGATAAGTATGTAAGTAAAACAATTACAGACTCCTCAGAATAGTCAACCATTTGTGATCAGAAGAGCAGCATTTACTCCAGAACAATGTTCAGAAGGGTTAGGAAAGAAAGAGGAATGGAATTGGGAAACACAGGGAGGAACCAGGGTAAATGACGTTACATTGTGGAAAGTGCAAACGAAATGTGTTGGAATTGCTGAATGGAAACCTGATCTGCTTGGTCTTCACCTAATTCACAATAAAAGGAAAGAAAAAAAAAAAAAGAGAGATACTTGCCATGTAAGAACAGATTCACGATAAGGAATAAAAACTCTCTTTCCGTTTGCTTGTTCAGAGAGTGCTGATATAACTTTTCCCAAAGTTAGCAAGGACTTGTTAATACTCACGCCTTCCTATAGACAAGATTTTAAAAAAAGAAGAAACATTTCAAAAAGCTGTTATTGTTAAGTGCCATGGAGTCAGTTCCAACTCACAGCAATCCTGTATAGTGTTTCTGGAAAGCGGCTGGCTGGTGAGTTTGAATCATTGGCCTTACAGTTAGCAGTCCAGTGTTTATCCTACACATCACACCAGAACTTTCCAATAACTGCTCAGCAATAAATTAATTTCACACAACGGATTTCTCACTGAATAAGTACTTTGTTCCACAAACTATCAACTTTCTTACAACTCAGAATTCACTGAAATTATTTCTTTGAAAAATAATCATAAACACAGTGTATGCATTCCTTTTTAAACCACAGCCATGTATCCTGTAGGTTGCAGCTAAAAATACTTTTTTTTCTGAGGGGGTAAACTTTTATTCAGTTTGTAATCTGATAATAAGATCCTCAGGAATAAATTTCATCAAAAAGAGAAAAGTAACACAATTACCTTCAGCCGGTCTCCACTAGTGTGAGCTGTAGAGCAGCGCTCACTGCCTGCCAGATCTATTAAATTAATGCGGCTCGTGATTCTATGATCATGTTCTTCACCTTCCACAAATTCAGTCTGTAGCAAAAGGATAGTAAAAATCATTTACGTCCTTCAGTGCTTTGCTATCATAGCAGACATTTTCAAGAGGAAAAATTACATTGTTTTTTTTTTTAAAGCATCCCTTCTTAAATCTGTGATCTTTTATTATATCAATTTCACACATTCTACTAAAAAGATAATACTGAGCAATGGCTGGATCATGTCAAAATAAAAGAAAAGACTTTAAAAGGATAAAATCCCACAACTACTCAGTTATACTAAGAAAACATTCAGAGAGAAAATGCTTTATGCAAAAATGTGTTTATCTCAGCATTACAAGAGTAAAACATTTAAAAACAACATAAATTTCTAACAGTAGAGATAACCTTTATATATAATGATATTATATAGTTACTAAAAATTATCTTTGCAAATAATTTTAATAGCCTAAAATTATTATAGATTTTTGTTACGTTTGTTTCAGTGTGATTATAATACTGAAAGATTACATACTAAAATATATAGTATTGGGAGGTTTCATTTGAACAGTAGAGTCCATAGGTGATTTTTTTAAAAGATATTTTATCCCACTTCTGCACAGCTGTTGTGTGCTGCCCAGAAGTCACCTATTCTGTGGCAATGGAGGTTAAGATCCAAACTCCCAACCCTGATCCCACTCGGCTCCCACAATTTGGTAGGTGGTCGTCTCCCAGTATAGTCAAGGTTTGCCCAGTGTGCTCCCAAAAGCCACCAATGGTATGCAGTCTGGGCACTGCAGTCCTAGCTCAGGCGCCATTGGCCCTCTTGCCCCCCTCCTTGGGCAGGTGGTCGTTGGTGACCTGGCCTTCCCTACAGCTGGCTTAGCAGAGAAGGGGGTGACAGTTGCACAGGACTCAGTCAAGTATTCACCTGATGAGTCTGGAGCAGAAGCTGTCTGGACCACATGCCGCACAGTAACCCCAGGGGCTCAAACAACATCAGACAACATAGGGTTATAATTCACAGAATGCATCATGGACACTAAGTGATGCTTACCTGTATATATGCCATAAAATCCTATTTATACCGTTATATGATTGAACTTTTATCTTTTGATTTAAAGAAGAAAATAAGAAAAATCAAAAAATTTAAATGCATTTACTAAGAAAATAATCATCAAAAATAATAATACCTTGGTCTGCGTCATCACCAGAGTAAAAACAGAATGAGATCGGGAACTTTTATCATTCATACCAGTAGCAGCAGTTGCTCTTTGTTTATTTCCCAATTCTAGCCAACTCTAATAATAAAGAAGGGAGGGAGGTCAGAGATGCAGACTGTAATTTATTGGAATAACAAATCACAGAACAACAAAGTAAGTAAGCACATCCAGTAACAGATACATTTACAAATAGTTTAGAGGTAAGAGATCATTGGTTATGTCTTAATAATTTATATTCCCACTGTCTAATTTTTTCTTTCCTGTCACAGGTATCTGAATTGGGAAAAAAAAACTTTAAAAGGCTATTTCTATAACCATAAACTGACATCATGGTCAATTTTTTTTTTTTTTTTTTAATTTGGAAGAACAATCCTTGTGATTAAAGTTTAACAAAATCAGTTCATAATATAATAATGAGTTTAGCCTTCTATTTATACAAACAGCAATTGTTAAGTGCCATCAAGTTGATTCCAAACCACAGCGACCCTGTAGATGGTTTCCAAGGAGCAGCTGGTAAGTTTGAACCACCGACTTTGCAGTTCAAATGACTTTGCAGTCTGACGCATTAGCCCACAATGCCATACCAGGACTCCAAACAGCAACTGTTGTTGTTGTTATGTGCCATGGAGTCGGTTCGGACTCATAGTGACCTTGCACAGGGTTTCCGAGGCTGTAAATCTTTATGGGAGCAGAAAGCCTCATCTTTCTCCTGCAGAACCTCTGGTAGTTTCAAACTGCTGACCTTGTGGTTGGCAGCCCGACTCATAACCACTATGCTACCAGAGCTCCTTAAACAGTAATTAGGCAGAACTTAACAACAACATTCTTATGAACATTTATGATTATGGCCTTTCTAGCTAATAAAAAGAAGGCAAAAACAGATAATCAATCTTACCTGGATATCAGAGTAAGAACTGACAACATTCCTATTTTTAAAAAAGAAAAGATTTTACTGATAATGACACTCATCTTCTCATAAAACAATACTAATCTGTATATGAATTCTCACAGAATCTTTCATTTACCCCATTCTTAAAGTGAAAGAAATAACGGTTTTCTCTCTGTGTGTGTGATAAAAATGTACAAGGGAGCTTCAAAAGTTCATGAAAAATTCCATTACCTTCAATTTCATTTTTCCACGAACTTTTTGAAGACTTCTCAGATATATCAAAACATTTGCCATTTCAATTTTTTAACATGCACAATTCAGTGACGTCAGTTATTTACCTTATGCTGAGCAACCACTAACACTATTCCCATTCAAATATTTCCGTTACCCTGAACGGAAATTCAGTACCCCTTAAGCAATGACTCCAACATTCCCCCTCTCTTCTGGCCCCAATAATCATTAATAAATTTTGCTCTCTATAAATTTGCCTGTTCTTAAAACAATGTTTTAATTGTAACAAAAAATAAAAAGGGTCTTCAGAAAAGTTTATAGAAAATGGAATTAAAAGATAACAGAATGTTTCTATGAAAATTTTGAAGTTCCCCCTTCTTATAAATATTGTATTCTTAATACAGAAAAGTATCTTAGCATTTTATCTTTACAATATTCAAGTCTATTATCATAAGGTTAAAAGATTTACTTTACATGTTTGTGTGCACAGGCACACACACACACACATTTGGATCTCAGTAGAATCCTGGATTAAATCAATGGAGATGAACTAACAGCCAATCACTCTGTCTTTCCTTTAAGAAAAGCATTGAGAGTGTTGAAAGGCAAATGCCTCTTAGCACATCACACATTAAACAACTTCTAGCTCATCTTAGCACCTTCTCTCTTCATCTTCAATAGGTATACAAAGCTGATGGTGAGGGGAGGCTTAATACGGAGCAAAGAGAGAGATAAGGAAAAAAATCAAATACTTATTTCAACTCAGTATAATTAATACTCGATACCAAGCACTTTACAGATGCTGTGAAAATTACAAATATAAAAACAAGGAGCTTAAAAAAAAGAGAGAGTTAATTGAATAGTATTCAGGGTAGACGGCTAAATAGTTATCCAGGATTTCAGAGCTGGAAAGGCAAATGAGAGTAAAATAAGGATTATGGGAGATGAGCATTCACTCTAAGTCTTTGCTTTCTCCTTCTTCTTGCAGAGCTGAACACTTACATTGACAGCGCTTCAACGTAGGGTCCAGATATAGGATGCTCCCTTACTCTCAGCTAGGAGAAACAAACAATAGCATCAGTATGTGGATGACAAATACTACACAGTAAACATAACTTTTAATAATTGTATTTCTATATTTTTGACTTTAAGAAATCTGTCTTTCTAATACTGCAAAATAAAAATAAAGGCTTTCAAAAATACAAATTTGTAAGGCACTAAGAAGCTATCTTAATACTACAAATGTGTACAATCTGTAGCAATATAGTATAGCAACAAACGATTTAACTCTTTTTTGTTTTTTGTAGGTTAAATCCTACAATAGCTATATATTTATATATTTTTAAGTAGATCTCTACACAGGTTCAGTTTCAGGCATTTAACATTTTCTTCCCTTTTACATTATAAATTTTGAACTTTATGACTAGAAAATTAAAAACTCAGAGAAGCCATGGAAGAAATGCCAAGTTTAATTTTTCAAGTTTCCTGATTTGCCCAGAATAAGCTGCATGACCTTGGACAAGTCAACTGACCTCTTTAGAGTTTTTTTTTTTTTACGTGTGTGTTATGTGTGTGTGTGTGCTCCAAGGTTATTTTCAAAATTAAGAAATTTTAATTCAAAGGGTAGTTTAAAAAAACAACAAAACCTATGTATTTGTGAGACTCTATTTCACAAAAAAGGTTCTCTATAAAGCATCACTCTCCTAATTAATCCAGTGAAACATGCATTCCATAATAAAAAAGCCTTTTTAAATGTTTCCTCTTTTATCTACAGACTCTCCTCGTGTGGCACTGGGAGTTAATGCACTGGACTGCAAAGTCATTTGAATCGTAAGGTTGGCAGTTCAAGCTCACCAGTCGCTCCTTGGAAACCCTATAAAGGGTCGCTATGGGTTGGAACCGACTCAATGGCACTAAACAATAACAACATTAAGCATTCCATGTGTGATTCACATAGTCGAACTAAGTCCTGTAGTAAATAGTTTAACTTTTATACATGATTAAAATAAAGATATACTTTAATAACTAATTTAATTTCTACTAATGATGGTCAATTTATTTACTAAATAATAAAAGGTAGATTGTTAATCCCAAACATATCATAGATCATTTTAGTAAAACTGTAGGACATGTCATCTTGAAACCTCATTTAACCCTATGCAATTATAAAAACAAATCATAAATTATTTTAATCTTACAGGTTGCTTCCTCTGTCCATTTTCACCTTTACAAACCAGAAGGTCATGAATTTTTTCATTGTATACTTCAAAGAAGCTCATTTCAAGATGATAGCTGACCTAGTAGGAATGGAAACATAGTACACAATTTTAAAACCCTTGTGTTTCTTATTAACCTCTAAGTAAGGCTCAATGCAATCCAATAAGCATTTCTTTCTCACCTGCCTACTAAGTATATGATTTTAGGTTGTTGTTAAGTGCCTTCAAGTTGGTTCCTACTCGTAGTGACCCTGTATAGGGTTTCTGAGGAATGGCTAGTGAGTTTGAACCGCCAACCTTGAGATTCAAACTGATATTGCAGTCCAGTAATTATCCCACAGGGCCACATCAGGACTCCTATAAATTAGTGACCTGAAATGCACTAATACTGGCTATTTTGAATCAGACAATCATATGGTTTACTATACTGGGAACAACTGAAGAGGAATGGCATCACATTCATTGTAAAAAGAACATTTCAAGATCTACCTGGAAGTGTAATGTTGTATGCGATGGTGTAATATCCACATACCTACAAGTTAATATCACAATTATTCAAATATATGCACCAACCACTAACTACAATTTCAAAGTGAAATTGAAGAATTCTACCAACTTCTTATTGGATCCCAAGGTCAGTTTGAATCACATGATCCAACTTTCACATGCATACGCGGTTACTGAAAATACCATGGCTTGGGTCACGTGCACCTTAGTCCTCAAACCGACATCTTTGCTCAATACTTTAAAGAGCTCTTATGCAGTAGATCTGCCTTACGTAATAAATCGTTTGATTTCTTGATTGGTGCTTCCATGAGTGTTGATGGTTGCTCCAAGCAAATTAAAGTCTTTGACAACCTCATTTATATGGATGTTGTTTATTAGTTCAGTGGTAAGGATTTTTGTTTTCTGTACACTGAAGTGCAATTTATACCAAAGGTTGTGGTCTTTAACTTTCCTTAGTAAGTATTTTAAGTCTCTTTGCTTTGAGGAAGCAAGGCTGTATCATCTGCATATTACAGGTTGTTAATGAGTCTTCCTTTAATCTGCTATCACATTTTTCTTCATATAATTCAGCTTCTCAGATTATATACTCAGCATACAGATTGAATAAGTATGGTGAAAGAATACAACACTGGCATACACCTTTCCTAATTTTAAGCAATTTGGTGTTCCCTTTTTCTGTTTGAACAACTGCCTCTTGGTCTACGTACAGGATGCCCAGAAACACAATTAAGTGTCCTGGAATATTCATTTTCTGCATGTTGTCTATAGTTTGTCACAATCTAACCATTAAAAGCTTTGCGTAGTCAGTAAAGCACAGGCAGACATCTTTCTGGTACTCTCTGCTTTCAGCCACGATCCATCTGATGTCAGCAATAATATGCCTTCTTTCCACATCCTCTTCTAAATCTAGCTTGAATCTCTGGACGTTCTCTGTCAATGTATTGTTGCAACTATTTTTGTATTATCTTTAGCAAAAGTTTACTTGCATGCAATATTAATAATATTATTAGATGATTTTCACATTCTGTTGGGTCACCTCTCTTTGGAATAGGCACAAATACGTATCTCTTCCAGCCAGTTAGCCATGTACGTATCTTCCAAATTTCTTGGCATAGATGAGTGAGTGCTTCAAGTGCTGCATCAGTTTGTGGAAAGATTTCAAAATGCATTACATCTCTTTGCCAATGCCTTCAATGCACCTTGGACTTCTTCCTTCAGGATCATTGTCTCTTGATCATATGCTACCTCTTGAAATGGTTGAATACTGACCATTACTTTTTGGTACAGTGACTCTGTATATTCCTTCAGTCTTCTTTTGATGCTTTAGGCATCATTCAATATTTTGCCCATGTTGTTGTTAAGTGCCGTCGAGTTGGTTCTGACCCATAGTATCCCTGTATAGGGTTTCCGAGGAGCAGCTGGTGAGCTTGAACCGCCAACCTTGCAGTTCAAATGGTTTTCCAGTCTGGAGCATTAATCCACATCATTCAATATTTTACCCTTTTGGTTTTCAAACTCAAAGTCTTTGTACATTTTGTTATAATATCTGACCTTGTCTTCTCAAGCTGCTCTTTGAAATGTTCTGTTCAGCTCTTTTACCCTCTTATTTCTTCCATTTGCTTTAGCAGCTCTATGCTGGAGAGCAAGTTTCAGAGTCTCTTCTGACATCACATTTAGTCTTTTCCTTTTTTTTTGTCTTCTTAATAACCTTTTGCTTTCTTCCAGTATGATGTTCTTGGTGCCATACCACAACTCTTCTAGTCTTCAGTCTTTAGTGTCTAATGCATCAAATCTGTTCTTCAGGTGACCTCAAAGTTCAGGTAGGATATGTTCAAGGTCATATTTTAGCTCTCATGGACTTGTTTTCATTTTCTTCAGCTTCAGGCTGAACTTGTATATGAGCATTTGATTATTCTACTCTGCCCCTGGCCTTGTTTTGGCTAATGATATGGAGCCTTTCCATTTTCTCTTTCCATAGATGTAGTGAATTTGATTTCTGTGTATTCCATGCAGTGAGGTCCATGTGTACAATAGTCTTTTATGTTATTTTAAAAAGGTATTTGCAAAATCAGTCTTGCAAAATTCTATATGATCTTCAGCAGCATTTCTATCACCAAGGGCATATTTTCCAACTACTGATATCCTTCCTGTTTCTAACCTTTGCATTCCAATCACTAGTACTTATTAACACATCTTGATTGCATATTTGATCAATTTCAGACTGAAGAAGTTGGTGGAATTCTTCAATTTCATCATCACTGGCTTTTGTCTTTGGTGCATAATTTTGAATAGTAGTGGTATTAACTGGTCTTCCTTGTAAGCCTATGGATATTATTCTATAACAGACAATGTTGTACTTCACAACAGATTTTAATATGTCAATTTGTCCATTTGTCAATCCTGGCATAGTAAACCATGTGACTATCAGATTCAAAATGACCCATACCAGCTCATTTCAGCTCACTAATGCCTAGGATATGGATATGTATGTATTTCATTTCATTTTTGACAATTTCTAATCTTTCTAGATTCATACTTTATAAATTCCATGTTCTGATTATTAATGGATATTTACAACTGTTTCTCTTCATTTAGAGTTGTATCCCATCAGCTTATGAAGGTACCAAAGGCTTTATTACATTTGTATCATCACAGTCAACTCTACTTAGCGGAGACAGCTCTTCCCTAGTCATGTTTTGAGTGTCTTCCAACCTGAGGGGCTCATCTGCTGGCACTCTATCTGACAATATTCTGATGCTCTTCATCATGTTTCAGTATTCAACATTCTGGGGCTGATAGTGTTCCAATGCTGTTCATAAGGTGACTAAATATTCGGAAGTAATCATCTCTCCTTCTTCCTAGTCTGTTTTCATCTGGTAACTCAGCTGAAATCTGCTGGCACTTAAAATACCGGTGGCACAGCTTCCAGAATCATAGGAACACACAAGTCACCACAAACTGACAGACAAGTGGTGACCTTAAAACTATGTCATCTCTAAAATCCTAAACACTCAATAGCAGTGAACTGGGACCCACAAGTCCAGAATTTTGTGAATCCCTTATTCTCATTAAACTTGAACATTTCAACCTGTGGTCTCTAGACCACCAAGTTTCCCCCTAATCTCTTGGGCCCCTTTATCCTTCTATTTTCAATTTACGTACTAGAGGTAAGAGGTTGGGAAAGGAGGAGCAGTATATCCACAGACGGGGACAGAATTCATCATCTGCTCCATTCTGCTTTTCTCACACAATCTCAAATAATGACATCAACACCTACTCTGTTTCCAATGAGAAACAATTATTCCTTCCTCCCTCACCCTTTATTCCCAGTAGTCATGAACTTTTACCAGTTCTATATACTCAGATCTCTCAGAGTGTGCCCCTGGTTCACCCCTACTGATACTCTCTTAATTTAGCTCATCGTATCTTAACCAGCTCACAAGCCCCATATCTAGCTTCTTTAATCCAGTCCTACTTCCCTTCAATCCCTTTTCTACACTGCAGCCAAGATATATATATATATATTTTTTTTTTTTTTTTTTTTTAAAGAGCCAATATGACCAAATTACTTTTCTGGTTAAAATTCTTTCATAGTCTTCCAGATGCATGGCTCATAGAGACCTTCTTAAGTGGAGTTTAGCCTGCCTTTCTAATTTCATCTCAAACTCCATACTCAAAACGAAGTAAACAGCTTAGATTCCCAAAGGTTCCCTATTTTCTTGCTTTCAAGTCTTTCCACATGCTACCCTTTGCCTAAAATGTTTGCCTCCCTCTTCTTCATCCGGCTTACAACGAGTATGTGTACTTCAAAATTAAGCTCAGTTACTTCCAACTCTCTCTCTCTCTCCCTCCAGTTTGACATGTTCTCAGAGTCCTGTTCTTATTTTAACATACCATTTGCTTTAGTTAGCCTTTAGTGCTTGTGATTGGCTGTTTACTGACCTGTTTGCTCCATTAAAGTACAAGTTCCTTGACTACAGGAACTGGGTTTAATGTCGTATTCCCAAATCCAGTACAATCTTTTCTCAGCTTTCCTTATCATAATAATTATTAGGGAGAAAGTATGACAATGATAAATGCCCAGGCTCTTCGCTAGTCCAACTGAATCAAAATCTCTAGAAGAGATTTTTAGCAAGCAATCAGATATCTGCCTTTGCCACATCCCAATAATACTTATGATCAAGGAAATTTGGGAAGAAACTGGTCTAAAAGATTGTCTGGCAAACAGTAAATGCTCAGTAAACATTTGCTACTGTAGGAATGAATAAATGAAAGGGGGTGGGGGCACAGGCCTCTCAGGTAGAGTAGAACAGAAAAAACATGGACTTTGAAGTCAAAGCTGGGTCCAAATCTCAATTTCACTACTCTCTTTCTACTTCACATTGCCCAAAAATGTATGTCTGCAGTCCTTAGTCATTCTGTGTACCTGCTGACTGCATACACCAGTACAAACTACCATATTGTGAGCCACTACACATAGACAAAAGGAAGAAAGCAGAGAAGACAGACGCGATGACCCCCTCTATCACTGAAAACCAGAAAAAAAAAATTCTACATTTAAAATACCACTCCTTCCCCCTCCCATCCATACCACTGTTGCAAAGGAGAGTGACCTAGATATCAGATATTTCTCATGGTCATAGGCTTGATTTTTACCTGATTTGAATGTTTATAGTCTAATATGCAGGTTCACAGGGTCTCTGAAAACATACCTCTTGGGTTTGTTTTTTGGCTACTTGAGAAAAAAGATGTTCACAAAATCTTGGAATTATTCCTGGTTCTTCACTCAATCCCATCATCCTGGAAAACAATTATAAACAAGGACAAAATAAAATTAGTTACTTTTTTGTATGTACGTGTATGTTTTTAGATACGTTTTGGGGAAATTAGAGGGGCAGCAAGCCAATAATCTCATAGTTATTAGCTAAGAACCTGGGCCCTGGAGCCAAATCTACCACAGATCAAATCTTGATTTTACCATTAATCTCTGTGATCTTTGAAAAGATACTTAGCCTCACTAAGCCTCAATTTCCTCTTCTATGAAATGGGAATAGAAATATCCCATTCAGAGGTTGCTGTGAGGAAGCACAAGTGAAGCCTTTAGCACAGAGCTTAGAACATAGGAAGAATTCAATACACATTGTTAGTGTTAAGAGCCATTAATTCACCTCAGACTCATAGTGACCCTATACAGGGTTTCTGAGGCTTTAAAATCTTTGTGGGAGAAAGCCTCATCTTTCTCACACCAATAAATATTATCATTAAATTTCTGAGTATTTCCTTCTAGGGCAGGCATTATCAAATCTACTATTTGTTACATACCATACTTTAAATTTTCATAATATTACTATATGTAACCTCTCTGGGCTTAAGTTTATACAAGAGATCTAATTTACAGTAAAATGAAGCCAAGGATACTTACAAAGCAAACTATATATCATTTGTAAATTGAAGTACAAAGGTTAAGTAAATTGCCCAGCTTTGCAAAACTATTATGTAAAGCTGAGATTTGAGCCCCAATCTGTATTTCCAAATTTTACCTTTGCTGCTTCTCATAGCAGAAGATGTAAAATTTTCTGGAACATTATATTTGCAATAAAACTTGGTGGTGGTGGTGCTTAGATACCATGGAGTCAGTTCCAACGCACAGGGAACCTGTACAAGGCTTCTGAATCTATAAATCTTTATGGGAGCAGAAAGCCTCATCTTTCTCCCACAGCTGGTAGGTAGTTTTGAATTGCTGACTTTGAGGTTCGCAGCCCAATTCATAACCACTATGCTACCAGAGCTCCTTTGTGATAAAACTTACGTGTATGATTTTCCAGAGCCAGTCTGACCGTAAGCAAAGAGACAGGTATTGTAGCCTTCAAAGGCTCTTTCTAGGAGTGGTACCGCCAACATCTCATAAACAGTTTTCTGGCTAGCATAGTTTGGATGAACTTCATCAAAAGACCAGAACGAAACATCATAAACAAAATTGTAAACTTGTTTCATGTCAGGATGCTGCACCGTTATTTCCTCCCCATTCAAGAAGACCACCTGGGAAGCTTTTTCTATCTTCTCTCTTTAAAAAGAAGCACACACAAAAAAATTAAGTTACTGGGTATTATTCATACAGAATATAATAAGGACCTCAAAACTGGTTAATATAACATTCCTCAAAGGCAAGATAAATCTTCCATTTTATATAGATATGCAGGCCATCAGGTATAATTCGAGTGAATTCCCAAAATATAGCTCCAGTAGTTCAAATGCCACACTCAAAGGGAAAATGAGGTTCTAGACTTTTGGTACAGAAAATTTACTTTCACAATATTTTCCTCATTTTGTTTTTCACTTGAGATATCCTTTTTCCTATACCACCTACTATAATTTACCTACATAACACTTTTCCATTCAAATCTGAAAATCTATATACTTTAAAGAAATTTTGGGGAATAAATTGATATAAAAATGGCATAAATTATAAATATAATTTCAACAAACTCCTTATGTAACTTAAGTTTGAATCCTAAATCTCTGCTGGCTATTAGCTGTTGTCACTGTTAATCCACAATTACTCCCTCCTCTAGATTCTGACCCTCAGAGTTCTGGATTTTCAAGTTCATCTTCTTTTATGTCACATTGAGGTTGAAACATTTCACTTACTAGATCTGCAGGAAAACATTGGCACCAGGTATCCCTTTCCTCCTGACTCGACTTTAGATCAGAATTAATACTAGATTCCCTGCCTTATCACTTAGACTAATGCCCCGCCACCCCAGCCCTTGATGAATGCCTGATGAATCGGGAAGCAGGTTCCTGGTCTTCCATGTAGCCACCCATTGTGTCTCTTGGCCCTCTGGCTCTGTTCTTTCTGTTGCCTCTCATTGTGCTTCTTGACATTTCTCTGGGGAGTCAAACCGATCACACTCAGCTCTCTCTCATCATAAGTACTACATTTTCATTAGTAACCTCCTTTAACTACTGATTAACCCTTTATGCACAAACTAGAAGTTCCTTCCTACTGTAGTGGTCACCATATCTTTTGCTAACTTACTTAGATACACAACATCAAGTTCAACACTACTCTAGTCTATGGCCTTTCAACCCTCCTTCAAGCCTGGAACTGAACTCACCCCTATGCCTCAGCCAAGCAGCAGACAGTCCTATAAGGTAAACAGTAACATGTGCGAGATATATACTTCTTAAAACAATCAATCATATGAGATCAAAGGGTAGCATTTGCCCAGGGATAGTGCTCAGAAGACAGACAGGGATAAGAACCAATAAGGACAAAGGAAAATGGTAAACCCAGGGAGAAAGTGGGATGAGTGCCGTCACATTGTGGGACTGCAGTCAATGAATGCCATGAAATAAAATGTGCATGAACTGTTGAATGGAAAACCAATTTGCTCTGGAGACTTTCACCCGAATCCTAACAAACAGCTTAAAAATAATAACAATAATAAAGTTGAGTACTACTGATCCTGTGAAGTTTTTCACTGTTTTCCTTTAAAATATTTTAAAATAATTAAAAGCCATATTCATATTTTGTCATGTCTAATCTGTCACCCATAATTACTTTTTGGTGAGCGACTTTTCCCACCAGAATCCAACCTAGTGAATCACTAAGCACTTATCACTATTACCATCCATCTGAGATGATGATGGTGATGATGACAACTCTGGAAAAGGTTCTGGAAGAATCTCTTTAAGGAATGAGTGACCTGCTAGGACTCCTTTTAAAGGAAAGTTAGAAGGTCCTACCATCTATTACAGATTTGAAAGCAGATTGGCGTTACAAACTGAAATGACTCACTCATTCCAACTTTTGAAAAGCAATACACCCAGAAAAAAATTGGTGACTTGGAAAACAGAATTTTCAAATTTTTCATTTTACAATCGAGAACAACTAACATACCACAATTATACCTAAATGTTCTCAATCTAAAAATACTACAAGTAGGAAAAAGCATGAGTACACTGATTTTCTAAAGGAAAGATGTGTCATCCATCAATGGCTTGGGCTTGATTCTAACAGGCGTACATACCTCTTGCTGAAAGGCCTAACACGTATTGCCACTGTCACTTGACTATTCTCCACTTTTACGGGATCTGCTTCTGTATAGGTGTTCTGAGCTGTGGTTTCTTCTTTGGGCAGAAGTACGTTTTCTTGTGACCTTTCACTTTTATTTACAAGAAAAGAACTGTTTGGCCTTTGTTTAGGGGGAAGGCTGGGCACCTTATTTTTCAATGTTGATGCAGCTGGACTCTTAAACGGATGCACACTGCCCTTTGGTGTTGATTTGTGTTCTGCTGCACACTTCATGGGTGTTGTTCTTCCTTTTTCTAAGGTCCCCAATTTATTAGCTGAATTTTTTACCATGTCCTTCCCAATACTTCTATGATATAAGTTTTCTGTTCCGGACATTTTGAGATACAACTTGCTCTGAAGAGGTTTTGTTGCCAAGTGCCCTGATCTAACAACTTCAGTATGACTCCGAGAACCAATGGGTGCTCTAGTACTTAAGTACTTAAATGCAACATTTTCATTTTTATCACTGGGGGCAGAAAATGTTTCTTTGTATTTCTCATCAGTCATCATTGCAATCTTTTTTGAGTCTTCAACTAAAGGTACAGAAGATGCACCAAAAATGTTTTCATCAGTATTTACAGTCTGTCCATTGCTACGAGTTTCCCATGAAGCACAATCACGTTCTGTTTCACTTCCTGTTTTTTGCGTTGTTTTCCACTTTTCCATAGAATCTGTTTTAACACGACGTTGTAATGTAAGATGTTTTTCATCTGTTTTTTCAGTAGACTCTCCAAACTCACTACCAAGCAAAGATGATTCTTTGTTCTTTGTAACTCTTCTCTGAAGTGTCAATCTACCTACCGATTTTGGGGTCAGGGGTAGATCTCCTGTTTTTTTACAGGCAGAAATAACATAAGTGCTATTTATATCTTTAACTTTACTTGCAGATCTCAGTAACGGATCATTATTTTCACATGCTGACATATCTGACTTCAAATGCTGCTTAAGTCGGCTATGAGAGAGGCTATTCAATGATGAATTCTTTTGGCAAGACGGAATACTGAGGATATCACTGTCATTCCGATTATGAACCGTATATACTGACATATTGGCAACAAGTTATTTGAAAGCCAGGGCTGTTGAAGAACCTAAGATCCTCTTTGGATGGTTATTTGACTTCCAGCCATTTCTTATATATCAGTTCTAAAAACAGTGAACCTACCAAAAAAAAAAAAAAAAAAAATTACATCACACAGATTATAAACAAGCTTTAAAATATAGAGAGAACCTCCCATTTTTAAAGTAACTTCCCAGAGGAATACATTAGACTAAAGCAGTAATGATGGCATTTTTTGATCCTTCTCCTACTTGACTCTTGTCACATTTGCCGTACAAACAATCTACCTCTTTATAGATACCTAACTCTGTCCCCTCTTTTCTTTTTGGCCCTTTGTCTCTTTAGAGGACTGTTTCCTCTACCTACTCACTCAAAATGAATATGGCCCACCGATTATGTACAGCTCACTACGCAATCTCTGACAGTGAAGCCACTTCTTCTTCAGGGCTTCAACTCATACCTTTAGTCCCCAGAACTCAAACTCCAACTCAGAAATCACTTCCAAGCTTCGTCATATAATTTTCTTCCCTCCAATAGCTTACAATCATTATTCAACAAATAAATGTACTGAGTCCTCATTAGGTGCCTGGGTATTGCAATAAATAACACATTCAGTAGCTAACCAAGAGGCTTTAGGTTCAAATTTACTCCAAGACACCTCAGGATAAAGTTCTGGTAAACTACTTCCCCCCTCAAAAAAAAAAAAAAAAATCAGTCGGAGACACAAGGGGTCGGCCTGAGTCAGAATCAACTCAACAGCAACTGGTTTTTTCATTATGTGTCAGAACCTCTGATAACCAGTGCAGATTTCAAAGATTAGACCATGTCCTCATTTTCTTACTAAGGAGGGAAAACACAGATTTACTCTTTTAACAAGCCAAACATGCCAACGGATTATGAGATGTAAAAAAGTGCTATGTAAGCAAAAATTAATATTTTTAATGTGGCACTGTAGAATAAGCACTGAACTATGGTTTAAATACACCACTCACTCTTCAGAAACTCTATACAGTCACTATGAGTTGGAACTGACTTGATGGTGCTCAGCAACAACACAGGTATTCCTGGCTTTATGAAAGTTCACTTAATGCCAATTCACTTTTATGAAAGACCTACATTAGTAACATCGCATGAGAGAATACTGGAAAATCAATGATTTGTTCATTTCAAATACCTTCTTTAGACAGAATTAAGAGACGACTATACACATGGACCTAGCCAGATGGAATACATAGAAATCAAACTGACTACATCTGCAGAGACAATGGAAAAGCTCCATATTATCTGTCAAAACAAGGCCAGGGGCAGACTGTGAAACAGACCATCAATACTCCTATGCAAATTAAAACTGAAGCTAAAGAAAATGAAAAGAAGTCCACAAGAACCAAAATATGACCTTGAAGATATCCCACCTGAATTTAAAGAGCATCTGAAGAACAGATTTGATACGTTAAACATTAAAGACCGAAGACCAGAAGAGTTGTGGGATAATATCAAGAACATCATACAGGAAGGAAGTAAAAAGTCATTAAGAAGACAAGAAGGAAAGAAAAGGTCAAAATGGATGTCAGAAGAGACACTGAAACTTGCTCTCCAGAGTAGAGATGGTAAAGCAAATGGAAGAAATGAGGAGGTCCAAGAGCTGAACAGAAAATTTCAAAGATCAGCTTAAGAAGATAAAGGCAAAAATTACAACAAAATGTGCAAAGATCTGGAGTCAGAAAATCAAAGGAAGAACACGCTCAGCATTTCTCTAGCTGGGGGAACTGAAGAAAAAAATCAAGACTCGACTTTATTAAAGAAGTCTCTGGGGAAATTATTGAATGATGCAGAAAGCCTCAAAAGAAGATGGAAGGAATACAAAGAGTCACTGTGCCAAAAGGAAATGGTTGATGTTCAACTGTTTCAAGAGGTAGCATATGATCAAGAGCCAATGATACTGAAGGAAGAAGTCCAAGGTGCATTGAATCAGCAAAGAAGAAGGCACCAGGAATTGATGGAATAAAAATTGAAATCTTTCAAGAAAGTAAGGCAGCACAGGAGGCACTCACTCATCTATGCCAAGAAGTTTGGAAGACAACTATCTGGCTAACTGATTGGAAGTGACCCATATTTGTGCCAATTCCAAAGAGAGGTGACCCAATGGAATGCGGAAATCATCGGACAGTATATTTGCTATCTCATGCGAGTAAAATTTTACTAAAGGTAATACAGAAGTGGCTGCAAGCATACAATGACAGAGAACTTCCAGAGATTCAAGGTGGATTCAGAAGAGGCCGTGGAATGAGGGGTAACATTGCTTATGTCTGATGGATCTTGGTTGAAAGCAGAGAATATCAGAAAGATGTTTACCTATGCCTTATTGACTATGCAAAGGCTTTTGATTGTGTGGATCATGATAAGTTATGGACAACATTGCGAAATATGAGTTTCCGGAACACTTAATTGTGCTCATGAGAAATCTGTACATGGACCAAGAGGCAGTTGTTCAAACAGAACATAGGAACACCGAATGGTTTAAAATTAAGAAAGATGTGCAACAGGGTTGTATTCTTTCACCATACTTATTCAACCTGTATGTTGAACAAATAATCCAAGAAGCTGAGGTATATGAAGAAAAGTGAGGCATCAGGATTAGAGGAAGACTCATTAACAACCTGCGATATGCAGGTGATACAACCTTGCTTGCTGAAAGTGAAGAAGACTTAAAATATTTACTGATGAAGATCAAAGAACACAGCCTTCAGTATGGACTGCATCTCAATGTAAAGAAAACAAAAATCCTCACCACTGAACCAGTAAACAACATTCTAATCAACGGAGAAAAGACTGAAGTTGTCAAGGACTTCATTCTTCTTGGATCAACTATCAACACTCACGGAAGCAGCAGTCAAGATATCAAACGACATATTGCATTAGGCAAATCTGCTGCACAAGACCTTTTTAAAATGTTGAACAGCAAAGATGTCAGCTTGAGGACTAAGGTGCACCTGACTCAAGCCATGGTATTTTCATTTACCTCATATGCATGCGAAAGCTGGACAGTGAATAAGAAAGACCATAGAAAAATTGATGCCTTTCACTTATTGTGTTGGAGGAGAATATTGAAAGTGCCATGGACAGCCAAAAGAACCAAAGATCTGTGTTGGAAGACGTGCAGCCAGAGTGCTCCTTGAAGATCAGGTTGGCCAAATGTCGTCTCTCATACTTGAGACATATTGTCAGGAAGAACCAGTCCCTGGAGAAGGATATTATGTTTGGTAGGGTGGAGGGTCAGATAAAATGAAGAAGACCCCTAGCAAGATGGACTGGCAAAGTAGCAGCATCGATGGACTCGAGCATGGCAACAGTAGTGAGGTTGGCCCAGGATCGGGCAGTGTTTCGTTCTGCTGTGCATAATAAGGTCGCTATGAGTCAGAACCAACTTGATGGCAACTACCAACAACATTAGTAACTGTTTTCACTAATGGAAATAAATCTGAAGAGGACTTTACCTTTTATGAGAAAATGGCAAGTTCAGCCTTTGTTTTGTTGTGAGCTGTTAAAGAAGCAATTCAAGCAGGGAAGAGTGGCGTCCCCAAGTTCCTCATCCTGGAACTATATCGTGCATAATTACTTATACTCTACATAGGTTGTGTATTTATCAGGTAATTCCTGCTTTTACTATATGTTAGCATTATTTTATGTTTGTCATTTGGAATCATTTGGCACTGTTAACTGATTAACACTAGCACTGGCTTTAGGAACGCTCAGAATTTTTTCCCCTATAAGTGAACAGTATGGTGCTGTGGCATAAGGTCAGTTTGAACCAGACGGTTGGTGGTTCAAACCCACCAGCCAGTCCTCAGAACTGACTCAGTGGCACTTAACAACAACAAATGAATAGTAATTGCTTCTTCACTTCACGCTGCTTATGAGAGTTTCACAGGAACGCTCTACTTTCAGATAATAGGGGAAATTTCTATTCTAGTTTAGACATGCAGAGAGAACCTAAAGGAAACTCTAGCACATAATTCAGTCTGAAGCAAATTATTTTGATAAGGCAGTACCTATGGAACACATGTTGAACACAGGAGTGTTTCATGAAGGAGATTAAATTGGTTAGTGTTAAATCGGCAGATTGTTTCCAAACGAGTACCACAAACAACAGGTAATGTGCATTACTGTTAGAATTAAGGCAACTCTGCAAGATTAGGTAAGTAGACAGTCTGCTCTCCAGCAGGCAGATGTGTTTGTAAACAGGTGTCAACAATACACATCAGGCATTAACATTTAGAAGCGAGCAACAGTGAAGGCTTTTAGTCAACTGTGCAACAAACCCGTTATGCTGACAAACATTAAATCTTTAAAATTGCATGCCTAACTTGTAAAATGTCAGTTGATTAAAAATATTTATATAGACTATTGCTTTCCAAAGGAGCTCTGGTAGCGTTGTGGTTACGAATCAGGCTGCGAACCTTAAGGCCAGCAGTTCGAAACTACCAGCCGCTCCGCGGAAGAAAGATGAGGCTTTCTGCTCCAGTAAAGATTTACAGCCTCGGAAACCCTGTACAGGGTCGCTATGGGTCGGAACCGACTCGACGGCACTTAACAACAATAAATAGCATCACTAGGCGTCAAAATCGACTCAGCCCCACGCAACAGCAGCAGCAACACCATACTATAAAGGTAAGAAAACAAATCTGGGCATTCTATTGCAATGAAAAACTATATGCTACTTACATAAGTCCATACTTTTTTTGTTCATTTGGGGAGTTTCGGCATCAGATGTTAAAGACAAGTAAGTCGCAACCCAAACCAACACATCCTCGCGGTTCTGTTCCTTCTCAGACGGTCACTACCAGTGTTGAGACAGCGAAGGCACCTCCTAAATGCAACCGACTCGGCGGGACAACAGGCGAAGGCCAGGTCCCCGCGGAGCCCTTCCTCTCCGAGGTTTCGACGCCGCCGACCAGGAATTCCAGGGCGTGTAGGGTCTCTGTAGTACGAC